CACATCAATTTATTTTGGTAATCCCCAGGCATTCTTTGATAGTAATATTTTATTTGATGTTTCTTTTGTCAATTTATGTAACTCCAGTTCATGTGTATTTTTAAAAATAAAATAATTACAAAATTATTTCCCTTATTCTCTTTTCTGTTTGTTTTTGTTTTAGAGTGACCCGCAAAATATATATCTGATCATTTTATTTTCTGTTTTTGTTTGTATAGTAATGACTATCGAATAACATTTTTAATGTGTGGTGGGTTGAAAGGGCGCAAATAAAATTAATACTATTTTAATTTTCACCTTCAACATCATTATCACAATCATCAAAGTCATCATCGCCATCACGATCATTATCATCATCACCACTATTAACATCACCATCACCACTATTAACATCACCATCATAATCACTGTCATGATCATCGCCATCACCATTGCCATCATCATAATCACCATCAGCATTATCACCATAGCCATCATGATCATCCCCATCACCATCATCATAATCACCGTCAGCATTATCACCATAGCCATCATGATCATCCCCATCACCATCATCATAATCACCGTCAGCATTATCACAATAGCCATCACCATCATTGCCATCACCATCATTGCCATCACCATCATCATTATCACCATAGCCATCGTGATCATTGCCATCACCATTGCCATCATCATAATCACCAAAGCCATCATGATTATCACCATCAGTATGATCACCATAGCCATCACAATCATCATAATCATCATCCTAATCACTGTCAGCATTATTACCATAGCCATCACCATCATCATCATAATCACCGTCAGCATCATCACCATTGCCATCATCATAATCACCGTCAGTATTATCACCATAGCCATCACCATCATCATAATCACCGTCATCACCATAGCCATCATGATCATTGCCATCGTCATTATTATCACCATAGCCGGTTAAACACAAAATATATTATTAAGACTACTACTAATGATAAATAATTATAAATGAAATTGGACTAGGAATAATATTTCCATTTTATAATATTCATATTTTATTTATAAACTGACTTTGACATGTATGTTGAGAACTTGAGACCAGTGAAAAAAAATACACGGGCTCAGGACGAAATAGCCCCCGAAATGCCCAAAAGAGCCCCCGAAGATCAGAAAAGAGCCCCCATAAATTTGCATAGAGTTCAATGCAAAACAAATTTTAGAGTGTTATTTTTACGCAGGCAAGCTTGAAAAGTAGCCCCCGAAAAATAAATACTAATTTTTACCCTGCTTGAGACCATTACTTGCATAACATGTGTCACTGAGAATAAAAGTATTATCCGAGTAAAACATCTTTAAATTGTATAACGGTGACAGTTCAATCAGTTTTTTATTACAATAAATGCTTTGTTCATGTAAAGCTCTGGAATCCCACCTTTGAAGTATCACTATCAGAGATACAAAAATGTAATCACTTGAAATGGATTTTTCTTTTACTGAAAGAATAAGCTGAACAAAATCCTTCTCGTCCTTCTCCCAAACTCCGCTTTCAAGATTGTTTGTTCCTACATGTATGTGAAGTCTAGCAAACGCTGATTCAGGAATGCAATGGAGACTGATGTGTGAAGTCTGTGTCTTAGATAATTTGTTGTCAATGTTCCGCAAGTTCGATGGTTGAGTGCATCCGTCAGAAAAACAACAACATCTACATCTAAGGTGGTACTGGACATGACCAATTGTTATACACGTCCAGACTTCCGTGGCATCGCAAACTGTCAACAAACATCACAACTGAGGGTGCAGAGTTCAAAAATAAAAATAAAAAGGTGCTCATAAAAATACAGTGGGTTGCAGACATCATCTAATTTTTAGATGAAGTAGAGCCACATTGACGCTCTAGCCCGCCTGTGTACAGCTGCACTGAGTGGTCATTCTGCATGTAGCTCCAAACTTTGGTATGGAAAGACTTGGCTGATGTTGACTTTGATGATGATGGCTGCCGGCTGGTAGTTGATTCCATTACGAGGATAGAAGCTGTTCTTGTATTCTTCGGTCCTGGCAAATGACAAATGATAAGAAGGAATATAAAATTGCTTAGTTCAAGTATGGGGATTTTAAAAGATCTGATCAAAGTAGCTAGCAATTTATGGTAGACAAAACCTGCTTGCATTAAAAAATTGTTTTTCATGAAAACAAATTACAGGTGTCAAATTCATGAAGTTTTCCCTTCATTTTTCCACATGTGCACAAGTTGTAAAATGTAAGTGTTTAACTTTGGCTTTTTGTTTCACTGAATTCTGCTTTGTTCATAATCATAATACAACTCGCACAAGGGAAATGCTGCTTATTTCTATGGCTGGTTGTAAAGTTTGAGTTGATCAGAACCAAAACAAAAGGCACAACCAAACTAGTTTGAGAATCCCTAAATTAATTAATATAATTATCTGAGTCTGACCAGACGCCAGAGTCACTGTTTAACTCTCACAGTTGACTGTTAAATTCGTGTAAAAATAAAATGGATTAAGCATAAATATTATCAAGAGAGCTTGCTAATTTAATGGAATAGTACACGTAAGTCGAGGGCCCCAGATCAGATATGGCTTTGTTTTATGCCGGATCGGTACAGAAAAGGCTATGTATGGGACCGGTATGCGGTCACGGTGATGACTACGAAAGTGCGGCCATGTTGGCGAAACGTGCACTTTTCGCGCCATATCGGCAAAAATGAGTGATTTTAGCGTAGCCGTCACACAACTTCCGGTTGAAAATCGAAAAATGTGTAACTTTCATGGCCATAAAAGCTGATAAAATACATCGTGCATCAATCGAACTCTGCGCTTTTTCACTTCTGCCAACATTTTTCTTGTGAAAAATCAAAAAATTGGGGAAAAACATTGCTTATACCAGTCAGGAACACGCTAAATGCAAGGTAATGTCAGAATACCTCCTACGAAAGAAGGAAAATATGGACACATTTCAATGAATATTTACGATCACTTAGATGCGGTAAAATTAGGAAAATTTCGTATCAAAATACGTAGAAAAGTATGGAGATACACTTACCCCTACTTGCTACGCAGCACAGTAAAAGCCATAGCAGCTGTGATAAAGTTTGTTGACCTGTGCAAAAGTCTCGCGAAATCTCGCAAATCGCGGGACACGAAATACGACGGTTTATCGCACTTCCGGGTGCTGTGTAAATTTGGGCATTCTGCCTAATTATCGCGGGCGTTGCGGACTGACTGTTGGCCCGATGTCGCATTGCCCGCTGGGAGGTTTCAGACAAGAATGTTATTTTTGAGTCAATCGTGGTAATACCTCTTAGCATTTGCTCCGCCTGGTTCAATGCCTTTCTCGCTTGTTCAAACTTCTTCCTGTTTCAGGGGTCTTATATTTCCTGTGTTTTTTCACAAAAGACGTGTTTGTTCCATTGCCAAACCAGGCCTTGTCACATGTTTGCTTGATAATTGTTTTACTTGGAATACACTTTTACAAATTAACATTGATGACCGGCGTGACCATGGAACATAATGTGTCATGGTCACTCCCTTTAACAATTTCACACCACTTGACTAATGATATACGTCCTCTCAAATCCCAGAATAGGGGCTTTAAGATTCGCATGAAGACAATGGGGATTGCTACTATCGACGTCCTTATAATGCACTGCCTTGAAAGAACGTCACACGTATCAGTCCACGCAAATCTAAAAGTCCCTATTGTAACCCTTTGTAGGACCAGACTTTTCTTTTGTATGGCTTGTCACGAAACACAACAATATGGAGCTGTAATAGCACTTGGTTGTGTTCTGGTATGCTCCTACATAGGCAGCGGATGTGGCCGTAGAGGGCAGGTCTGTAATTGCTACATCTAACACATTTACTCTTCCAGAATTGGATCGTTTACGATGTGTTGCATGCCTAAGTTATCAGAAAGTAATTGAGCTCGAAGACCAGTACTGATAGTGTATGGGCTTCCCAACAAGTCTCGGAGATGGACATTAAATTCACCAACAAGCATCAGAGACTATGCACAGTATTCAGCCATTTTTCGAAAGGTACCTATCTTAAAATGATTAAATATGGGGCACAGTCATGTTGCAATCTAAATAATATATGGCGTCATTATTAGCACCAGTGCTCTGTTGATACCACGAACATGTAGTTTATGTAACTTAAAGCCCCACTGTACTTCTTGTAGCTACTTGCTACTATATAAAACAATTCATAATCGGTGACCGTTGATCCCCCATGATCATCTTTTTTATGTTAATTGAGAGCTAAGTTGATGAGATAGCCGTCTGTCAGTGACCACGCTGTGTGGTATAATCCCTCCTGGCTAAACTAGTACAGATGGGCTTTAATTGGGATGTCTGCTTGGATCATGATGTACAGCGATTCCGTCAGAGCACTGAGTGGCAAATCCTTGATAATAGACATTAATTCAGTGTCGGCGATCGAACCCATGACCTTTGAATTTGAGGTCAAAGGCTTAAACCTCTCGTTTACGACACCTCGTACTACTATTTCTACTACTACTACTACTACTACTACTACTACTACTACTTCTAATTGTACTACTACTGCTACTACTTCTACTACTACTGCAACTAATGAAAAATACATTGGTAATCACTGGTACTGGTATGCAGTGCACTGCACATCAATGCAACACTCTTTACAAAAAGAATAGTGCACAGCCGGACAATTAGAGAACTATACTTTGCAACTTATCCCTTTTACCTTCCCTCTTGCACAATCCATGACTGCAATATATTATCGAATCGGGTATTATTTTAAAGAGAAATAAAGAATATGTTTAATCATTTTAAATATAGCAATTAATATGCCATGTTAAGAGAGAGGTATAATCGATCAAACTCGAGTTTCTAAAGTTTTTAGAAGGGGAGGGTGTATGTTTATTTCACATACTGCTATAGGTCCATGTTGTGCCAATATAGGTTATAGATATGCGGTGGATCTCCTTGCTGAGTACATACTAAATAGCACGGCAACTTTGTGGACAGATTATGTATTCCACATATCGTGCGAATGAGTGTAGCGAATCACCAATGCATGGCATCGATTCAATAGATCTCAATCTGAACAATACGCGTCTGTCGTATTGGGGAACTTATGGGGAAAAGTGCACAAACCTTTTTACATTTATTTTTCATATTAAGCTTCCTCTTTTCAGTTCAGTGCCTCTGATTTTACAACGCACATTTATTGCGGTGTGTTGCGGTGTGTTATGATACCGTGCTTCGCTTTGGGGTGGTAGACTGTTATGCTCTCGGTGCCGTTTTGGAGAACCGTGCATGCTGTGGAATGCAAACTGTATCACATATCACATCGGGAAGCATATAGGGAACTATGCACAAAAAGGCTGCATGATGAAGTCTGACAGCTGAACGCAGATTTTTGCAGAAACAAGGAAATTCCAAAACTCGGGGCACTTATCGCCTCGGAAATAAACTTGATCCTTGATCATCAAGGGGAATGCTTTTTAGCTACACGTATGCAGTGCATGCTTTCGGTTTGGACAATGTTTTACTAGTCTGGACTAGATCGTCTACTAGGGCCGAGTGTGCATCCAACCCTTCCGTAATTCGCCATAGGCAATAGCTGTGACATTCAATGGAATCAAATTGACTTGTTTGCCGAACGGGCTTCATTAACGATTGAGTCCAAACAACGAACAAATCTTACAAATTGATCATATAGTGGTGGAATGGAATAAAAGCGTGTAATTGAACACTTTCGAGAACTACTCTGTCATTCAAAATGTGTCAATGATGAAACATCAGACGAGCAACAGGTGAAACTAGGGTCACACACTGTTCTTATTAACTGGCTAGAAGAAAGGAGGTGAGTAGTCCAGTCCAGTATTATTATAGATATATCTCTAATTTAAGTGTTTATTATAGCCCTTAAAATTCTATATAAAATATGAATATATAAAAAATTGTGAACTTTGGTGGTAGATAACAAACTATTAACAATGTAATATAGCTTCACACAATAACAATACTCGTATTATAGATAACGATGTGTAAACATGTGCATTCATCTCAGTCCCTTACAAAATATGTTTAAGAACAACTTCCCTGATATAATTTAAAGCTTATCTGCCATAGTTTACAGGAGGGATTAGAGCGCCCTGCAAGGTCACTGGACAGGTGGTTATCTCATCAACTCAGCTCTCAGTTAACATAAGAAAAAGAGGATCATGGGGGACCAATGGTCACCGATTATGCATTGTTTGTTATATAGAGGGCGCAAGTAGCTACAAGTAGTGCAGTGGGCCTTTAAGCTCAAATATCCGTCTCTGTCTAATGTTGGTTGTCTTGGCACCGGTTTCTCACGAAGGTCTCGGCTAATCGGGTTGAATTATTGGCTGAACTGGGGTATCTCTCCTATACCTTGGGTATCTGGGCTTGAAGAGTGTGTCACTGGTAGAGGGGCTACCTGACCTGGTATGAGGGCTGTATAAAAACAATGCCAACCGAAGTACAACACAATGCTCCTATTACAATAAAACAATTTTATGGATAAATTCAATCGTTTTTACCATTTCCCTTTTTACTGTCTCACCTTTCAAAATATCATATTTGGTAAAGGGCTGTGTAGTTTCTAGTATGAATTGTAAAGAAAGAAGTACGTCGCAAATCGTGCCTAAGTGCGCATTCCATCACCACACCTGCATTACATTTGTATGCATTATATATTCACGTATCAACAAAGTCAGGACGGATGCATACGCACACTCATTCTTCCCAAAGACAGTTAATGACTATAACAGTCTTTCTCCCTCAATTGTAGCCCAACTTTCCTTAAATACTTTGAAATCTGCGCTTAAAACTAACCTAAAACCAGCACATTAAGTTGGTGGCCGTACACAACGACACACCTCTAGTTTAAACACCTTTACGGCGTCTCTTGGATGAATCATACCAAGTGCCAAGTATTACGAGAGGTTCCTGTTGGTCTTGCACAATAATGCACACAACAATATATCGAAAACTCAATGGAATCCATGGTTATATAATTATGTGAGTTACTTTCTGAACATTTTATACATGGAATTATCGATAAGGAAGTAAGTCTTAAACTAATCTATTGACCCTAGCAAAGTAAACCGTCCTTCGTTTATCAAAATCATAGGTTTAGTGAATGGATGTGGTTCAAGTAAGGGAATGCGGATGTGCAGGATACAATTCAAGTACAGGATGCGGATGTGCAGGATACGGTTCAAAATTAGGCACGTCTGTTGAGGTCTTAAAGTGTAACATGGTCTTAAAGTGTAACACGACTCCCTAGCTCCTGAAAAAATAGTCCCTGTGTTGAACATGCGTACGTGGAGCTCGCAGACGCACTTTGTACTTTGAAACCTAGCTAGCTAGCACATCAAACAGCTGCATTACTATCTTGGCCAGTGTATTAGAAACTCTTTTTAGGCCTACGTTTGTCAAGAGACGAGGACCCTTTTCTCTTTCTATATAATTCCTTTTTGTTTATAATGACTTGTTTTCGTTTTTCACACTCAGGCAAATTTACAGGACCTATTATCTTAGGATCTGTGTTTTTCCTACTTTTTCCTTGCTTGTCAGCACCTCGCATCCTTACTGAAGTCATTCCCTGGGCCCTGCTTATTATTCCTACTTTTATCTATAATCTTTTTTTGACGCAAACCAATTCTCTTCCATCCCCTTCGTCTTCTTATCAATTTTATACCTTATATAGCAAAGATTTCGTTATATCACTGCTTTGCACAGCACTTGAAACACCGTCCTTTGCCATTTGCATTTTGTTTCATTCTTTCTACCTAATATTCTTCTCTTAATCGGTTTGCTGTACGTTTGCATTATCAGGTACTCCCAAATGTATGCATTTTGCTTGAACATCTACTTAATTGTCAGCGCTCACAAGGCATTAACATTTGTTTATCTTGGAGCACTGGCCAGTTCTGTTTAAAATATATTCATATTTCTTTATGTATGTTTTAGTGTATACTGATGTTTTTTTGTATTCAGAACTGGAAATGAATAAAAGAAATAAAATAAAAAGAATAGTTTCCCTTCTTCTGTGGTCTTCCTTTCATTCATATTATTTCTTTTCCTTTCATTTCATTTTTTCTTTAATAAAACATTTCATGTTTCTTTTTTTTCGTAGTTCGTTTTTCCCATATTCTTTATTTCTTCCATTAATTTTTTTTTAATAATTATGTGTCTTCGTTTTTATATAACTCTTTTTACTTTCTTTCTATTCTTCCTTTTCTTTTCTATCTCATTTTCCCTCCTATATTGGCAACGTTTTGTGTATGGGATAAACAAAAAATACCTACTCATGGAACTATGTGCTCTGATCGGTCTTTATTCCCCTCTTTTTTAAGATGTTGAATTATTGCTGCCAACTAGCTAGTTAGCCCAATTTAAGCCTCGGTCACAAATGCCATTACGAACGATTTTCAGACAATGGAAATTCGAGAAGACAATGGAAAAACAGGGAGATTCGTACGAAATTATCGTTCGTACGAACCATTTGTGACCGTAGCATAAGCGAGAGCGAGCATTACACATACAATCATGTACAGCTAGCTAGCTACAGCTGTGCGTACGCGCCGCGCGCACGCAGCGACTATTTTTTCAGGAGCTAGGGAGTCGTGTCAAACTTTAAGACCATGTTACACTTTAAGACCTCAACACACGTCAACCAATAATTAACTCAGAACACGAAACAATCGATTCAAAACAATAGCACCACGCATGTGAATTATTGGATACTTACTCCCCGGGCATCCACCCCCGGAAAACCACCCCCAGTTAACCACCCCCAGTTAACCACCCCCAGTCAACTATCCCTAAGGACAAGTACCTCCTAGGAAAACTACCCACTAGGGAAACCACCCCTAGGACAATTCCCCAGGCAACTACCCCCGCACAAGTACCCCCTACGACAATCATACCCCCAGTAAGCTATCCTTAGGTAGTTGTCTGGGGGTAGTTTTTCGGGGGTAGTTGTCCCGGGGGTAGTCGTCCCGGGGGTAGTCGTCCTAGATGGTAGTTGCCCTAGGGGTATAGTAGTCCTGGGGGTAGTTATCCGGGGGTGGATGTCCAGGGGGTAGGTGTCCGTATACGGTATCCTTAAGACGGTATCCTTAAAACACTAAAACAAATTGGGAGTATAACCTTGGTATTTTTGTGACATTGATAATACTAACAATACCAGTAGTATTAAGAAAACACCTTTTCTTGTAATAAACGACGTTCTCATATACCATATTTCTCTCCTTCTCTCTTCCTCTCTCTATATCAGTTTAATCATCAGTTTCCGATTGATTTAACAATAAATTTACAGTATAACATCGGCCGCAAAGCGACAAATTAGACTTGACAAAATATATATTTTTACACCAATCCTGTTAAATAACATCAAACAAGCAACTGAACATAGACACTTAAAAACTTTTGGTAAAATGAAAAATTTTCTCACAAAATGATTTGCTTTAAGATTTGCTTTTGCTATACATCCATCCATTTCACAATAAGTTGTAACACTGACATAACTTTTTCAAACAGTGGTAGCTAACTTTTGCATTTGGATGAATAGATTTGTTTTCTTACAATAGCTGAGTATTTTTTTCTGAATAGCTCAGCCGAACATACACTACGTGCATGTTCTATAATATTAACATGATTTATTCACATAATTGCGACTTAATAAATATTTTCCTATATGCATTACAGTTGAACTAGGTTAATGATGTATGTTTAGTTTGCAAACGAGTTTTCGTTTTTGCCACGTCTATTATTGCTGTGTTATATCTTTCTAAATGTACTATGGAATTTTAGTTTGACTGTTCTGTATAAACGTTATGTTCATGTTTATTCAGGGCCTCATGGAAAACCACTACTTATTTGTGAATGGGCTACCCTGACACAAGATTAGAAATAAATAAATAAATAAATATAATACAATGAAATCGTTGTATTGACCTCCAATTAAGCCAGGTCACGACAATTCATACAATAAACGTAATGTCATCTGGAATCATACATGAGTTTGTTAAGAAAAACTCATGGGAACTTCCTTTTGAAGTATTCATTTTAATTAAACAAATAACAAACAAAAACACCACCAATATCAACAACAACAAGAAAAGGGACTCGCTCTGTGAGCCCCTGGAACGACACTCAACGAGAATGTGAATGACCGCCCTCCATAAGGGACTTTACACAATCCCATTCATATATTTTTAATCAAAACCAGTTCCCATATCTTTACTTATCACATGCACCATCAATCATCATTATCTATGAATGTAGCGAGAAGCAGTGAAATGGAGAGGCGTACAGAGATATAAAAACGAAGGGGAAAATATCAGCAAACTAGATGCTGTTTATAATTATCTGCAAACATTCCATTTTAATGGAAGTGTTGTTCCTTTTCCCCGTTTGATAGTGCCTATTATTGCAATACAGGCGTGTGCGACTTAGCAGGAAAAAGGAAGATGTGGTTTAACATGAAATATCATTTGTGTGTCCACCCAAATAATACGTGTCAGTGCTCAATATGAATTTGATGTATCTAAACAAAATATGGTGTAATCTTACAGTCAATTTCTTACAACATCTTTCGGAATTTTAGTTGTCTACTTTGCATACTCTTGAAAGCGAGATGGAGATTTTACTCAATGATTGAGTGAAACATAGCATAGGCTAAACAAATAAGGTATATTTAACAATTCTTTCAGCTTAATATTATTTTCTTTGCTAACACATTCATACCTTAAAAATAGTGGAGATCGGTTCACCATAAAACAGCAATAATAAATGAGCAAAAACCTAATTCATTATGTTCATAAGTTA